GCCAGCAAATGTATGAGAAGTTTTTTCCTTTCGCTTTTTTTTTTTGGGGACTACAACCTCCCAGCAGGCTCCCCTGAGCACCGGCGACTCTCCAGCGGCCTCAGAGGCACCCCCCAAGCCCCGAAAGACCCCTGCGCAAACGCGTCAACTGCGTTCAGGGGCGTTCAGTGAACGTGCGTTCAAAGCGTTCAAAAACTGAACACGGAACGCGCGTTCAATGAACGCGCGGTAACATAGTTTTGTGATGATACGAAAACTCACTACAAACTTCGTATTCTCTACCATTCAACCATCTCCGCAGTATCTTCTTCACCCTGGGATATGACAATTACAGTCTACAGTCACATTTGGCTCCAATGTAGCAAGCATCCGGCGCCCATGCTGCTCCTGGCCGCACTATCCGGCGCCCATGCTGCTCCTGGCCGCACTTCCACCGCCGCCACAAGCTCTCCCACTGCTCTTGGTAGCGCCACCACCAGTAGCTGTCCACTGTCCACTGTACATTTGCCCTCTCTCTCTCTCTCTCTCTCTCTCTCTCTCTCTCTCTCTCTCTCTCTCTCTCTCTCTCTCTCTCTCTCTCCGTGTGTGTGTGTGTGTGTGTGTGTGTGTGTGTGTGTGTGTGTGTGTGAGAGAGAGAGAGACTCGTATTGGAAGTAGTCAAGTGTAGAGGTACTTCGAATGTATCGAGCCCGAACAAACTTCAAGGCTAAATGCATATCTTCTTAGAGTGTCATGTGGTTTCTTCAGTCTTGTAGGTGTACGTTGCGTTCCGGGATGCTGTAGTGTCGAGCACGAGGCGATCCCCTCTCCATTCAAGGAAAGGGTGATTCTACAGCACGTTTTCCCTTGACGTGCCATAGCCGAGGGACCTAGTAGGGTTTGACGGCGGCCTCAAAATTTTCAACAGCCAACTAACACATCCTCGAACACAGCAGAGAGCGTCGCTGCCGGTACCGCTAGGAACCGTGCTGCGAATTAGCGCAGGGACAGCGCTATTGCTACTGCCGCGCCAACTCTCGCCACCCATTTTTGAAAAAAACATCGCAGTGTTTTGTGCCTGTCTGTTGTGGGCCCTTCTTCTTTCTCCGTTTCTTCTTTTTTTGTTAGATTCTCTTCCCCCCCCCCCATTTAAAAAAAAAACATCGCAGTGTTTTCTGCCCGTCTGTTGTGGGCCCTCCTTCTGTTTCCATTTCTTTTTTTTTATTAGATTCTCTTCCCCCCCATTCTCATGGCAACGAGAAGGGAGCTCTCCTATGGGCCTCCCTGCACTACTCTCCAAATGTGCACAATGAGACTGAATCCACAGGTAGAACATGGAAAGATACATTGCCATCTTTTTTGTCTTTTCTCCATTGTCCAGAGTAGTGCAGCAAGGCTCCATGTGCCATGTGGTGCTGTATCTCGCCATGTTCAAGGAGAAGATTCATCAAGTGACTTCGGGCCTACTCACACTGGACGCGAATATCACAAAAAATTGTGACATTTGCTACGGCTTTTGTGATATTTGCGTTGGCTGCTGGTCACACCTAACAGCCCGTGCCATATGGGACATGGCACTTTCTCCGTGTCAGAATTTGCGGTATTGTGTAAGTCACACACGAAGAGGGATTGTTTTTTTTCTTTTTTTTTTCAACTTCTTTTTCCTGTAAACTCTTGGGAAAGCAAAAATGCATTTGTGTTCACCTCTTGAGGTGGACGCAAATTGCGACACAAATTGCATACCCCCGAGGCCATGCAGGCTGGAGGTTTTGCGTACCCATTTGCGTCATTTTCGTACCTGCTCTGGCTGTGTGACCCGGTACTATCGCAGAATCTGCTATTTTTGTGAATTTTGCTACCAGTGTGAGTATGCCCTTCATCTGCGTAGGGCATGGCCCTACCATGTGCTACTGCGCCCCGTTGCAGTTGCAACGAGCGAACTTGGAGGCGTGCTCACACTAGGGGGAGGGGGGGGGGGGAAGAAAAAGAAAAGACAAATTTGCTGAATAACTGCGGCCCTCATACGCCTGACTCCGACGATGTCATTTTCGCGACGCCGTGTTTTTTCTTGCCTATTCTGCACTAAAAAGGTGACCAGCGAGCAGTTTCCCCTTTTATTTTTTATTTTTCCAATCATCTGCTGGTGGTGCTACCAGGGGGTGATACGAGCAGGCACGGGTAGCACCCCCCCCAGATGGCTCCTGTCTATTGGTGGGAAGCTGCACCTGCTCGAAACCAGCTCCACATCATCACACCACCAAAAACAGGAAAATAGGTTTGCAAACTGCTGTCGCGAACTCATCACCAAAGTTTATCCCGGAGGTAAGGTCCGTGAACCTCCGATACATAAGTGGTGGTTCACACCACAACCCCCTCTGGCCATCACCTGGTATCCAGTCCTGGACAATGAAGTTGGACTGAGCTACCAGGGAACAGGACCTAGATAAGAAAGCACTGAAAGGTCTGAACTGGCCCAAAAGCTGACCAAAAACTTCTTTTCAGGAGGATGTGTGGGCAAACAGAAGTACTCCAGCTTCAGTGATTTTTCTGGATCAAAAGAATGAGTGAAAATTTCTGAAAATTGGAGGGCCGTCGATAGCGTTATGATCTTTCCAAGAGAAATATGAAAAAAAAATTGGAAAAAAATAATCGTTCTAACCATGAAAACGAAACGCGGTGGCAATCTGATGCATTTTCGATTTTTGCCATTCAGCCACTTCTCCACCCTAGGAGAAGACGACATTCTAGACTCTGAGACAGGTGGAGCGCAGAGTAGCCACCGATTGAGACAGGATCTGACAGTGCTGCTCATATACTCTGTTTTCTTGTTTTAGAAAATTGTTGGCCGAGATTATGGGCCTAGTTGCACTACTCGCCATACGCCAAGTTTGGCGAGTGGGTGCCTGGTTGCACTTACTCGCCAAACTTGGCGAATGCAAAATGTCTCAGACGGCTCGCCACACCGTCGACAAAGGTTGTGGAGAGTGAATTCGGTTTCCCCGCCTGTGCACGGCGGTTTGTGGAGGGTGGTCCTCGGACCTCTCCACAAAACTACTTTCTGGAGAGTGCAGGGCTTCACGAGTTGACATCAGGTAGACAAAAAATTTTAACTTTTCTGTAGAAGAAGTATAGTGGCAATTTAGTGCAACCAGGCCTCAAGTTCGACACGATTCTCTTTTTTTTCACTCTCCACGCATCCGCCACGAAATGTGACGGACGGCGAGTAGTGCAAGTAGGCCCTATGAGCGTCGCCACACGGCAGCAAAAATGAAACGAAAAAATAAAAAATAAAAAAAAATGAGAAAACTACGGCGCAGTCAGGGATTGAGTTTGTAATTGCACTTGAGGCAAAAGGGC